GCATTTATTGCTTGCTGTTCTGTTAAATTTTGCTATTTTGACTGGAGTGAGATGATATCTCATAGTTGTTTTAATTTGCATCTCTCTTAGGACTATGGATTTGGAGCATTTCTTCATGTGTGTGTTAGCCATCTGAATGTCATCTTCGATGAAGTGCCTGTTCATATTCTGTGCCCATTTTTTAAAACCACTTGAAATTCTAATTAAAGATACATGGTTCAGAAATTCTCCAAATAACCAGTGATAAAGAATATTTATCATCTAATAAAGCAAAGCCCCAAAATTAAACTAAATAGGATTCTTCTTATTTGTCTAAGTCAATAAAAGCAGAGGGTCTGCATGCTTTTCTCACAGGATGGGGGAGGGAGAGCCATTGATTGGCAGGGGAGGTAACATGCTTACAGAACATTCAGGTTTTGGCTACTAGTTTGAAATTCTAAGATGAAAGCACTATTGTCAGGCTTAGGGTCTCCAAAGTGGGCAGGAAAGGAAAGTATCCTGATCCTTTATAAATAAACTCACTAAGCTTTACTTTCACAACAGTAAACCACTCTTTGGGCTGTGTCTCTACCACGTCTTCCGCTATTAAGATGCACTCTACTGCTTTTTCGTCCTTTCTCAGGAAATTAAGGAAAAAAAATTTTTTTAAATACTTTTATTTTATTATTAATTTTTTTGTGTGTACCATCAAATGGGATCTGACTAGTACAGGAGATTGTCCCGCCTTCTCCAGAGCATCTGATGGATTCGAACTGCGCACCTCTGGGTTTTCAGTGAAGATGAAAATATTTTTAATAAAATTAGTTCTTGATTTCTGATCTAGTTTTTAGTTCATTTAGATGTGGGTTAGTGTTTTACCAACATTTCCATGTACTGATTCAATTTTATTATTTTTCAGCACTAAAGCAAATACATGCCAGAGTGATGACTGTCAAAACTCTCCCAGAGGTTACAATCATCCCTACAATGCACGTGTATATTTATACTATAAGCTTGAAAAGATACCTTTTGGTCAACATTAATCATTCCAAAGAAGATAGAGAAATAAAACTTAGGGGTAAAAAAGCTTAAATAGAGGGGAGGGAAGGAAGAGAACAGGAAAGAATAAAAGCAGGATGGGACTCACAGCATTGGTGGTTTTTTTAGATCGACTCTTTGGCTTCTCTTTCTCACTTTCTACAGTATACTCTTTCTTCTCAATGGGTTCTTGTTTGATGTTGTTCTTAATTTCTTTCTCTATAAGAGGCAATCCAAAGTTAGCTCTTTCTGCTCACTCTCCCTACTTTATTAACCCCCATCTCAACCACTAAAGCTCACACTGAAAACAACTTCACATTTCTTGGCAACATCAGCACTTAGTTTTACTATTTCCAAGGGTTTAGTGCTCATTATGGTAAATTTAAATTTCAAGATGTGGAAAGAAACATAGAAGGCTAGTAATTCTAGAAATGACTTGACCTTCTCTGACTTCAAAATGAGACCTGATGATATATATAGTCCTCTTCAGATCCCAATCAGAAGGTATTCATGAAGGCAAATTCCTTTAGACCATTAGGGTCACAGAAATATCCAATTTATTTCTCTCCACATTACCCATTATCACTTCATCATCTAAGATTTCTTAACACCTCAACTTATAGACTCAAAACTAAGAATTTTGGCTAAACACAGTGCCTCAGACCTACTGTACATTAACTGATAATATCAATTGTTGCTATCAACTATTGGACTATCATGTGTAAGGCTATACTGCTTAATGCTTTAGATGAATAATCTTGCACAAAAAACTCAATTTGAAGTTTCTGATTTGTTTGGTTTTTTCAAAGTCATACACCTAAGGTCAGACAACCAGTGACTAGTTAAGTCAGAATTTAGATTCAGGTTTACATTTTTAATAATCCTTACACCTTCTGCCATATTGTGTTATCTTTTTACCAACCCAAATCCCCAAAAAGAGCCAATTCCAATACCTCCTTATAATTATTTCTTGTCAATACAAGATTTGTCTTAAGAGCATTCCAAAGCCTATTTCTCAATGACCTAAATTAAGAAACTCCCAGACAGGCAACTATCAAGTAAGTCAAATTTAAAATGCATGTCTGCCTGCCTTGTCTTTTTAGAAATCATGATCTACCCTAGTACTCAGGGTAATTATTAGCAGAGATACACTGATATCTTAATTGATCCTCTTAGGAGAGAAAACATTTTCTAATTGATCCTCTTAGGAGAGAAAACATTTTCTTCCCCCCCCCTTTTGTTTTTTATTAACTTTAATAATAGTTTACAGAGACTTAGGATTTCCTGTCATTCATTGTTGCACTTTCTTCCCCTTGAAAAGCAAAACTCTTTCACTGTTATGCATTCCCTCCCCCCAAGTTCACTCCACTATGCAGCCTTCACTCTGGACTTCTGTAATGACGAGAATACCCATTTATATATCCCTTTTAAACAGATCTCTCCCTCATCTGTTTCAATGAAATATACATGATTCCTCTCCTCTCCTTTTCTGTCTTCCCTCAACCATGATGTCAGTCCCATTTTACAACAGTGGCACTATGCAATATCTGTCCTTTTGTGACTGAGATATTTCTCTCAGAATAATGCCCTCCAGGGACATTCATTTTGCGTAATATTTCATGAGTTTTTCAATGCAGCATAGTATTCCATTGTGTCAATATACGAGATCTTCTCTATCCATTCGTTTGTTGATGGGCACTTGGGTTGTTTCTAGCTCTTTGCTATTGCGAACAAAGCCGCAATAAACATGGGTGTGGAGAAAACATTTTCTTAAAACACAATCCAGTGTTTGAATAAACTGCCTTACCATTATCACATTTTGGAGTTGGACAACCCATTCGACGTCTAAGATTATGAGTTCTGGCTTCTGGTATCTCTTCTGGTTGTATTTTAATATCCATCGCCTAAAATAAATAAATAAATTTTTAAAATAATATAGAAATCATCCTTAAAACCTGATTATAATCTCAAAGTAACTAATTAAAATTTTCTCAATTGTATCTTAAATAACCTACCCATTGCCATCAAATGAATTTTTGATTCCTAGTAACTCTATATACAAGCTAGAACGGCCCCATGGGCTTCTAAGGCTGTAATCTTCATAGAGGTAGGCTGCCTAATTTTTCTATCACAGAGCACCCACATGGTTTAACTGTCTTTTGGTTCCTAGGCCACTGCCTAGCCAGGTACCCCATGGGGTCATTGTCTCTATTAATAATTTCTTTTCAGCCTGAAAATTATTATAGTTAAGAGATGGATAAGGAATCTTAGAATTCACAAGAATATCCTCTATTTCAATAAATAAAGAAAAAAAAAAGCTAAAAGATAAGAATAGATGACAAGGTGTTACAAATCAATAAATAACTCTTATTTTCCTCCTGGAAGCTTCTCAGTTCTTAACTACTTATTTATGCTTTATTTAATTACCATTAATCCACTTTCTAAAATATCATGATTTCATTAACCTACAGGTTTACATGACTTCTCCATGGTCTTCCAATATTTGTGGAGTGTTGGGTTTCCAATTAGTAAAATGCTATTGTATTTGAGACCTGGACAACGAATAAGGATGACGGGAAAAAAAATTGACTCCTTGACCTGTGCTGGTCGAGAAGAACATCCCCTGGACAGCCAAGAGAATGAACAGATATGTGTCTTGGAGAGGTTGCAGCCAGAGTGCTCTTTGGAGGCAAGAATGATGAGGCTTCACCTCACATACTTCAGACATATTGCTAGAAGTGGTTATTCCTTGGAGAAGGACATGATGTTGGGAAGGGTGGAGGGCTGGTGAAAGAGAGGAAGACCCTCAACAAGGTGGGCTGACATGGTGACTGCTGCAATGGGCTCTTTTGTCTCACGAAGTGTGAGGATGGCACAGGACAGAACTAGGTTCAGATTTTTGGTTCACAGGGTCGCTATGAGCCATACTCGATTCGAAGGCACCTAACAACAACAACAGACTACTCTTTCAGGACTGACTAGCTATATCATGATTCCTCCTTCAATAAAAGTACTTAAGTTTTCCACAAGCAAAGTAAGTCAAGAGAATATACTAAGTGCACAAGAAATTTCACTGCAATCCCAAAGACATGTGGTTCGAATCACCTGTTCCATGGTAGAAGGATGGAAAATTTCCTCCTAGGTGATTTACTGCCTCAGAAGACCCACAGGAAGGTCAAGTAGGAGTCAGTTCCGGCTTGACAATACACAACAAAAACTGAAAGTATATTGCTCTGGCAGTCTAGTGAGTAAACTGCACAATAATCCCAAAACCTTGTGGTTCAAATCCACCAGCTGCTCCACAGCCGAAGGATGTGATTTACTCCCTCTGAATGACCACTGAAGGGTCAGCTATGGATCAGTTCCCATTCAACAACACACATGACAGAGATATGTAAGCCAGTCTCAGTTCAACTTCTTTTTCAGAAAAACCAACAAACTTCTGATACTTATTTTATCAAGCAAACAAAAATACTCTGTGGTCTTCTAACGCCCAAGCGTTTGTAGAAGTGTATTACTTTTGCTAGTGCCCATTCTAGTGAGGACACTAGTGTTCTCGGAGCTCTAATGGTGCAGTCTGTAGTGAGATGCACTGCTAACTCAAACATCCCACCTCTCTATAGAGTTCGAAGCCATCAGGAATTCCTAGGAAGGAAAATGGACAATCTTCCCCATGTGAGTTATAGCCTCTGAAACCCAATGAAAGCCAGCTGACTTGACAGCACTAAGAGTCTTCATTCACATACACTGACAATGTCCACTGCTGACAGAATTTCTTCCATGGGTCGCCACCACTGAGACAGCATAGACTCATAGCTTTAGCGGGTTTTTCAGAGGTTGTAAACCATACAGGAGACTGCCTATTTTTCTCCCACAAAGCAGTTAGAACCCTAAAGGGACAGTGGAAAAGGAAGACCCTAGATGAAGTGGATTGACTCAGTGACTGGGGTACAGAGACAATGAAATTGGCTCAAGACAGAACAGGGTTCAGAGCCATTGTACAGAGTCACTATGAATCACAAGTGAGTTAAAGGTACATACCTAGCATGTTGATGACTAGAATCTTTGTGTCGCTCAAATACTGACCAAATAAAGGGTCTGTATGAATGCCACGTGATTCTTGACAAATGAATGTGGTAATGCTCTATCAAGAAGCATCTACCTTTGGGTTAACAATACAACTCCTTACTCACTGGGCCACAGAGCTCCCTTCTTCAATGGGTATTACATTGTCATCAATATTATTATAATTATTTCTGTCATCAAAGCAGACCAAATTCTAGGGATCCACAGCACAAGGGCAGGTCTATATACACATTTAAAGATCAAAAATATGCTGACACTTGAACTTACTCTTTGATTAATAAACTTTAAGCATTCATACAGGTTTCAAGTAACTTCACTGGCCTACTTCATAGCAATATCTGTCATTATAAAAAATGTCACTGAACTTTTTACCTCCAACTTACTTTAGAAATAGTTCTCTTTTCTGTGGATTTCCCCATAAGACAGAACAGGCAAAGACTGATTTATAAGTCAAATGAACACAATATGAGATTTAGAAGCTCTAAATGTTCACTGTATATTACTCCTGAGTCCTAAAATTTACATATCTCCTTTCGTTCCATCTAAACTGGAATCCACAATCTTTACACCTCTCAAACTGCCACGAATTAAATAATCATTTAAGAAATCTGAGAAAAATAGCTTGTATTGTTTTCTAACCTTCTTTCATTTTTTTTAAATTGATCTTTCAGCAAAATTCTTCCTATCTAACACATTTCCTGACCTTTATCTCCAACAAATATAACCTAAATTTATGCGTTAATTTAGTAATCTGAATACAATCACAAAAGAATTTCAGTTCTTCCTAAAGCTCGGACCATTAAAAACTAAGCAGTTATCAGAGCAGACAGCATAAATTCTTTTAAAATAATAAAGAATTCCATTTTTTTTCACACCCTAAAGGTACAATTCTCTTAAATACAAAAGCTAAAGTATATACAGCACACTTCCTCGTAAAGTTAACAAGGCTCAAAACTATGAATACACACACAAAAGAACCCAACCCCATAAGAAAAAAAAACACCAAAACAAAAAAAAACACCAAACTATTAACAACAGGAGAGCTCTGGTGGCCTAGTAGCAAGGAACTGCAACTACAATCCCAGAGGCGCATGGTTCAAATCCACCAGATGCTCTGCCGGGGAAGGAGGGACAATCTCCTCCTGTACTAGTCAGACCTGATTTGACAGTACACTCATACAAAAATAATAAAATGAACAACAACAAAAAAAAACCTATGAACAACAAGCACATGACAACAATCCAATGCCCGGCAGAAACTGAGAGGCCAAGAGCTGTGTGTCATCCTTTGGGACGCTCACCTCGGCTCTCATGCGCTTTGCCCTTCGGGCTGGGGGGCATGTTTCCAAGGGCTGCACAGACTGCCTCTGAGGGATGTCATGGGGCTTGTACTCCTTGTCCTTCATGTCAGTGCACAGGTTTGGCTTCTGGAGACACTAGATATAAAACACAATTGCACCCATTAATTTCCCCTTTCTTTTAAGACACTGTCATTGTCAAGGTACACTTCAGAATTATTTACAAAGAAGACACAGCCAATCTTCAAGAAT